GACCATAGCCTCTGCTTTTTCCTGATCTCCCTCTATCATTTCACATTAACTCCCTTCTTTGATTAGATTGAGAATCCAATGATGCGTCCTTGTTCTGTAGTTTATGTACGAGAATATTCCCTTAGGCTTCTTGAGTGCAGATTGTGCCAACTGCATATAGTATTTCCTCCCTCACTCCAAAAGGAATAGGACACTCTGAAATGTATCCAACGGCGAGTCGCGAAATCATTTCGAGGACTCAAATTCGAGCCTCATAAAGAGCACCTTCGATCACTAGATTTCTACCCACTAGAGTACAGGAGTCTTAGAGGTAACCTTCTAATGGCTTAAAGCACCTTTAAAAGTTCTGGACATCGCCTTAAACACCTACTTAAGTTAAGTTCCAACATAACAATAAAGGGAAACACACAGAAAGTATAGACACAACATAGCAGAACCGAGAATATGCACAATATCTACTCCTTAAGAGCTGTCAAGTGCTGGGATTCGCTGCAGGCTGAGATAGTTCAAGCGACTACCTAGAAGTCGTTTAAGCGGAAACTTGACATGTACTCAAGGACTAAACATAGTGTTTTACCATGATTTATCAATTTCTTTTTCTTCTTTTATCGTTTGTATACCCAGGTTCCTGCCTGTTGTCGTTGATGATCTACTGCTAATAGACACGCTAGCCCGTTGGGCGAAAGCTTTTCCGCTCCGTCCACACCCACTGGAACCGCTAAAGTACTCTCTATCAGATACTAAGGTGAAGGCATTATCTGCCGATCTTCAAAAGTGATTCAATGATTACTTTAAATCAACAGATAGAACATGAAGGTACTCCATGCGTTATCGCTAAATCAATTCAGTCATCAGTATTGAGGATAAAAAGTTTGTGAACCTGTGTTAATGTTACTCCAAAGCAAACATTAATCTCAAGAAAAAACATCATCAGTCAACGAAAGACAAGCAATACTTCAAGGGTGTCGTCCACTGATTGCAAAGATTGCGTCATTGTCGTAAGTGCTGCCACAGCACAAGCCAGACATCTAGCTGTGAAACCCGCAATTAAACCGTCTACCCCGAAACAATAAGTGAGTGACACCTCATTAGATATCGGTGGCCATGCTGCTAGAGCAGCAACCGGTGATCCAGATAAAACAATTACTGTCTCGAGTGGTTCCAATTTGGATGCTACGACTGATGGAATATGGATGACACGGAAACACAGAAGAGTAGGAAAGACGGCTAAAACTAATGACCGTTTGCTTGATAAGTCCTTGGTGGACTCTCAGACCACTCCGCATTAAAGTCCCCTAGGATTAGACATCGACCACTTTGTGTCCAAGTATTGAGACTGTTTAGCAGGACCTCACTTACCTCACAGCTTGGACTGCGATAGACCAAACCAGTCAGCAGCTCTTGTCCTTTGCATTTCAAGCGGAGACTAACTAATTCACACGTCCCACTCTCATAGGGTACACTGTCGATAAGGGCAAACGGGATAACATTCCTAATGAAGAGAGCTACTCACCCCCCTTTACGCTTTTGTATTCTGTCGACTCTTACTAACGTGAAACCCTTGAAATCAAGTTCCATACTATCTATAGACTGTGTCAGCCAGGTTTCTGTGACTGTGATCATGTCTGGCTTTGTATAGTCAATCTGCATACCTAGTTCCGATGGGTTATTGAGTAAGCTTCGGACATGAGTGTAACAGATCCGGAGCCTATTTTAGTGGCTTCGTGCTTCACCCAGAGTGGCATCGACATCATTCTCTGTAGGAGCCTCACAACCCGAAAATTTACAATTTTCATGTCCTTTTTGCTAGCGTCTAACCTATATTGTAGTTCTTTTCCGGCTTCCTGTCTTTTTACGCGGTTTGCCATTGGCAAGTCCTTATGGATAAGACTCCTGAACCCTTTAATTTATGTCTATTCTGTAAAATTAAGTCGCATTCATTTGAAGATTTGAACACTACTTTAAGCAGTCTGGATTAATTGGGCTTCAAGTTCGCTAGACCCCCTAGTCTGTTCACGTTTAGCGAGGTGACTCCGGGGATATTTTGAGGCATGAGTTGATTAAGTAGCTGTTTTATCGGCACAATGTCGCGCTCAAAACGAGTTTTCGGTTCAGAGCTTTCACCCACTTTGATTCCATGAAAAACAACTGATCTGTCACTGTGACCAGCATTCAATTTCTCGACTACTTTTATGGGGGCATGATTCGCTTTTATATAATCATATTGTTTCTTCCTTACAACCTGTACCCATTCGTCAACGTTGCTAGGAGAAGCAACCACAGTTACACCGAACGTACTGTTGGATTTCCCTCTAGGAACTGATCAAGCCTTGCGATTGCGGCTTCTAGGCGTTTCCGGCTGGATACCATTTAGAAGATGGGGGACATAAGAAAACTTCTTTTCTTGAGTTTTTGGTTAAGACGGATCTCTTTGAAGATTGTCTTTCCTCCTTTCGTCGGGGTTGGTTACTTGTTTTCGAACTCACCTGAGTTTGCCTCACACCAATTTGCGTGGTCGATGTGTCCCTACCACGCTTGCAAAAACACTTTTTTGCAGCATTTACCAATGAGATGATCTCGGTTAGCAAGCTGTTTGCATCCGAACGGCACAGTTAACAAAGCCGTATCCAACAGTTTCCAGTGAACCGTTTGAAAACCGCAGGCGTTAAATTCATGCAAACTTCGTGGTACCAGCCTTTGCAATAATACCCAGAGGAAAAAATGATCTATGACTAAAATTGTAGGTTGTAATAACCAAAAGTACTAACAGATACAGTAGAAAAAAGTACTAAAAAGCAACGAGGTCAAACTAATTTAGAAACAGAAACGATACTCTAATCGAATACCTAAACAGAAATAAATTCGATTAAAGAGAAAACAGTAGTCTTCATTCGTAATAAACAATTAAATCAAAAGAATTTATGGAGAGAGGAAAAATAGCACTGTCCTTTTAAATGGCGCGATAAAAATTTCGTATCCGACCAGATTGGCCGCTTGAGGATCGAATCAAGTGGAAGAATGCTCTTACGGAGTTGAGGACTCGCAAGTTAAATGGCGGAATTAACCTTACCATTAAGGGTTTTCGGGTAGTCAGGTCATGGAAGTCAATGCTTCCGAGGCCTGTATGGGTAGAACGGTTGATTGCCAAAATACCTTAAGTGTGTGCTACACGAACGCTCTTAGTCTTAGAAATAAAACGTCCGAGCTAAGTCTGATGGTGGAAGAATTAAGTTCCGATATAATCGCTGTTACAGAAACTTGGTTCACCGTAGATATAGACTGTTCTCCTTTCATTGCAGGCTATATCTGTATTAGAAGTGATAGTTTCAAGTCTCAAAGGGGGAGGTATAATATCATACGTTGGTGATCACTTTCGTATACAGTCAATCATATCGGAGGCTCATGCTAGTGGTACATGTGAGGTAGCATGTTGTAAGATTAAATCTAGAAATGGGTTAGTGACTATAGGAGGAATATACCGTAGTCCGTCTTGTCTGGCTGACGACTTTATCTTAAGACACATCTGTTCTTGAAGTATGGCAGAATGTTGTCTCATCACTGGTGACTTCAACGCACCGCATATCAGCTGGATAGAGCTTACAGCTCCAGGTAGTGGTTTCGATAGCGGCCTTTTATCTACCGTCCCAATATCTGGCGAGCTAATATTCCGGCAATCAGGAACTGTGCTGTCTCGACCGATTGGTCGGTCGACGTGGATGGATTGATCGAAGATGAATAGAATAAGTTTAAGGCTACATTCGAGTCCGTAACGTCGCCGTTTATCCCATGGTCGACACTTAAGCTATCACATTGCCCTCCATGGATTAATAAAGAAACCTGGAAGCTGTTAAAGCGTAGGAAACATTTCTGGGACTTATTCTTGTTGACAGGTCATGCACCATTTAAGCGCTAGTACGAAAAATACCGTAATATCTATAAGAAAACCATAGCCAAATCCCGTACCGCTTACGAACCACAGTTAGTATATGATAGCCGTACTTGTCCGAAACGATTGTTTTCGTATGTTAAACGGCGAATGAAACGTAGTGATGGTATTCCCCCGTTGCTGTTACACGAAAATTCAGGATTACTAGCTGAATCAGATCGGGCAAAAGCTGAGACTTTTTCAGATTATTTTAGCGAAGTCTACTCTACGTTTATTGTAGCAAATACTTGTCCCACTCACACCGAGATACCAACCATTGAATCTGTACATGTGACTGAGGAAACTGTCCTTCCGTTGATAACTAACCTCAAACTTTGTAACATACCGGGCCCTGACGGGTTACATCCACGGCTACTGTCATCTCTTGCGGACATTATTTCAAAACCGCTCGCGACACTCGTCAACATGTCTCTTTCACTCGCTTAACTCCCTAGAGATTGGAAAGACGCTAAAGTCAGTCCTATATTTAAGGATGGTCAGAGACAGATCCTATCTAACTACCGGCCTGTCAATCTAACGAGCATTGTCGTCAAGTTACTGGAAGAGATTATTCGGGTTAGGTTGCTAAGCTACATAGATCCACACAATGTGTTAGCTCCAGAACATGGATTTCGTAACAAGCGTTCATGCTTGACTAACTTTCTTAATGCGAGAGAGGATTGTACAGCAGCCTTAGATAAAGGTCTGTCTGTCGACGTGATATTCATAGAATTTAGCAAAGCATTTGACAAAGTTTCACACGTGGGTCTTATGCAGAAGCTCACGAGCTTCGGAATAATAGGTAATGTACGGGAGTGGATAGGTAACTTCTTATGTGACCGCAGACAGAGAGTGAGGGTTAACGGAACGCTATCCGATTGGAAGCCGGCCAAAAGTGGTGTACCCCAAGGCACCATCTTAGGCCCTCTGCTCTTCCTTCTCTACGTTAACCAGCTACCGCTGTTGCTTATGTCGTCGACATTATTGTTTGCGGATGACGTGAAAATCCTTATTACCGAAGACTGATTTGACCGCTTTTGCAAAGCTGACGAATTGTCGAGGTGACGCGCCAATCATTTAACGACGATTTGACCTTCAAGGGCTCAGTAACCTTTGTCAGTGGTCGGTCCCTTTGAATATTTGCCGATTCCGTTTCAGTGTATTTTCTGCTCATTTGTGTTTACTTTCCTATTGATGTAGATTTGTTACATGAACTGATGTGTTATCGGTGAATAGCCGTTTGAAAGATATTTCGTGTAAATGGCTACTAGTCTGCTGAAATCTCTAGTGGATACAACAAACAGGGATTATCCTTCAACCTTAAAGTTTTGCATGTGTTGTTCTGCCGCTTTTCTTTCAGAAACTAGTGAGTTGCTTTTGCGTAACTGTGATTGTTTAGTCACCTACCCACTCGATATACTTAAAACTCGCATTCAGGTTTATGGAGAACTACAGAACTCATCATACCCTGGAGTTATTAAAATTTGTTCTTCTGTCATAAGAAATGAAGGTCTGTTTAAACTTTGGCAAGGATTATCTCCAGCACTCTTCAGACATATAAGTAAGTGTTTAAAGTAAACTGCGTTGCCAATGTGTTAGGTATCAGACGTACAAATATATATACATATATATCTTCCATGCGTTCAAGAGCATAAAGACTTAGGAGTAATATTAAGTCATGATTTAAAAACAACTACGCATTGCAAACCAGCCGCTGTCAAAGGTTTTCGTGCGTTATGGTCACTTCACCGAGCGTTCAAATCTTTTGACGAGGAAACTTTTCGAATTTTATATCCAATATTTGTTAGACCAGATTTAGACTACTGTATCCAAGCAGCTAGCCCGTGTCTGGTAAAGGATACTAACTACCTTGAGCGTGTCCAGTGTGTGGAAACGAAATTAGTGAAGGGTCTTTCTAGACTCCCTTACGATGAGCGTTTAAAACGCTTAAATCTTTTCCCCTTGTCGTATCATAGGACACGAGGTGACCTCATACTGGCATTTCGTATCTTTACTTATGATTTGGGTGTTAATATGTCCTATCTTTTTGCTCACTCCAGTACTAATAATCTCCGAGGTCATAGCAAGAAGGTTCATAAACCACGATCTAATAAACTTAAAGTGGGGTCTCGTTTTTCTCATCGAGTAGTCAATCATTGGAACGCCTTACCCGAACAAGTGGTATCAGCCCCATCAGTGAATACTTTCAAGGAAAAGCTGGACCTTCACTGGAAAGCAATGTGTCTGGATTAATACAGGTTCACCAACTTACTATCCTTATTACTGTAGACTGAATTTGTGTAGTAAGGACAGATGGCCTACGGCCTATGCTATTCCTTCTTTTAGTTTGCTTCTGTGAGTGTCAGGTCTTTTCCAAAATGAGTTAATTGAAGTTGCGGACACCACTGTTTCGGGTAACAGGTTCCAAGTATTGATGATTCGGTGTGAAAACCTGTATGCTACAGATGTTTTGTTCATTCTTTACTTTTAGACTCGCCTATTGTGTCTTCCGAGATGTCCCGATCTAGTGTGAAGTGAAAGAGAGGATAATTCAGGTCCAAAACCATTTCTTATTACCCTATACAACAAATTATGGTCACCTCTTAATCTAAGTTATGAGAGATTAAAGAAGTCTAGCTTTTGAAGCCGCACTTTATGTGGCAAACCCTTGAGTTCTGGAATTGCTTGTACCCTGAATTCATATTATAGGCTTGTATCTCGCTAAAATTGTGTATTCTGCAGTGAACATAGTAGTATCTAACTTGGTGAATGTCCATATTAAGGCACACATGGTTTTAAACCCCTTAACTGTGACTTCGCGTCAGTGGGCAGTGGTCTTAAGATGATGACTCACTGTCCCGGAGATCCTTGTGAAACCGAACCAACGGGGTACAGGCACTTTGTCTTGTTGATAGGCATAAGCCACTCTTTATACCAGTCAATCACAATATTTCAATCTGCCTCAAGGACGCATGCATCTGCGTCTCCGGTAATTTCTCGCCAGACTTTTACATCATCAGCGTATAGTAACGTTGGGGACAACTATACTTGGGAGTTCATTTACATTCATTATGAAAAGTAAAGACGACCTACCTCCGCATCTTTCTAAAGATGGTGGTGACTTTCTGGCTAAGGAAATGACTACACTGCTCACAAAGGTTTGGGAGCTAGAGAGTGTTTCAACATCATGGATTGAGTTAATAGTTCTCCCTATCTTTAAAAAGGGTCCATGTCGTTTCCGTACCAACTATTGGGGAATAATATTATTCTTGCATTGTTCCGTTGTACTATTTAAACTTGGATTAATTTTAATTTGGTTATTTATTCTCTGAAGAAGTGACTTACACTAAGCCACGAAACGTCAGAAAATCCAATTTTCTACTCATTGGGATATTACAAATATATATATTTATTTATATTGGGGAATAAGTCTACTTTCGATTGCGCCCAAACTATTGGCTTCTGTCGTACTTCGTAGGCTGTTCAAAACCCGAGAAAGATTGACTCGCGAGGGGCAGGCTGGTTTTCGTTGTGGTCGAGGATGTATTGTCAGTCAGTCAGTAACAACGTAGAACTTCGTACGTACGTACATCAGTTCGAGTTGCCACACCACATACGCACAGAGATGCAGTTGTCGATTCAAATCCCGTAGTGGTAGATGTAATAAGAGTATAAGCAGTAATCGGGAAGATTAGGGTTTGGAGATGTTATTTAAAGAGTATAATCCAGTGAAATAAATTTGGAAAGAGGAAAAAAGGGACATGAAGAATTCAGAAGATTAGAATTTAGGAGAACACAGAGAGTGGATGCACCTGCGCCATTGCAAACGATTTTGAGCCATGTCATTCAGGGTCTCTAATCATCGGTTGCTATCATCTCGCAGTCCCCAACCAGGTAGTCTACACCTACCAACATGACTCAGTCCACTTGTCAGTGACTTCATGGACTTGTGCCATCCTTTGGTTTGGCCGCCCCTAGCTTTCTTCCAACCTACTCCTATACCACTGAACATAGCACGTCGAGGCAGTCGGTCGTTGGGCACACGTAACACGTGTCCCAGCCACCTCAACTGATGAAGTTTCACTACTTCATCAATTGATTTGCTATCCTTACCTAGTACCCGTTTCCTAACAACTGTGTTACTTACTCAATGGTCCCAGGATATACGAGCAATGTTTCGAAGACACCTATGATCGAATACTAGTAGCCTACGAATATCCTCTACTCTTACCGGCCATGTTTCACTGCCATAAAGAAGGACGGAACGAACTGCTGCGCAGTAAACCCGTCCTTTGGTTGATAGACGGATATCTCGCCCACGCCATAAATGACGCAAGTTGGCAAGAGCTAGTCGAGCCTTCTGTATCCGTGCTGAGATTTCGTCACACACCAGACCACAAGGGCTGATGAGACTTCCAAGATAAATGAAGCGGTTGACACACTCAACTACTTCACTCACTATCACTAGTTCGAGTGTCGATGTAACCCAATCCTGAAGCAACATTTTGCATTTCGAGGGAGAGAATCGCATCCCGAACATGCTTGCATTGTTGCTTAGAGTGGTCAGAAGACTCTGCATTTTGTCAGCGTCTTCACCAAATAAAACTATGTCATCAGCATATTCTAAGTCAACAAGTGAACCTCCCGGTAGAAGTTCAACCCCTGGAAATTAAGATGAGGAGAGTGTTATCTCTAAAAGTACGTCGACGGAGAGTGGACAGCCCTGACGAACACCACTTGGGGTAATCAATTCTGATGACAGTTCGCCATAAACTCTCACTCTACCAGTTGTGTTCGAGTAGAGAGCCTTTATAAGGTTAATGTACTTCTTTGGTACTCCTTTCAGTGACAAACACTGCCATAGAACCTCACGATCAACAGAGTCGAATGCCGCCTTAAGGTCGAGAAATACTACCATTGTGGGGCGTCTGGACGTGTGTCTGTGTTCTAGAACCTGAAGTAGTGTGAATATCTGGTCTATACAACCACGTCCAGGTCGAAAACCAGCCTGATTTTCTCTAGTCTGTTCTTCACGAGCTTTGGTTAGGCGTCGAAGTATTATTGAAGCTAATATTTTAGACACTATATTAGTCAAACTGATTCCCCTGTGATTGCCACAAGAGGACTTTTGTCCTTTCTTATAGACTGGCACAATCAGTGATTGAGACCAGTCAGATGGGATTACGTCCAGTTCCCAAATTCTACCTAAGACCTCAGTTAATCTTGCTGCTAATACTGGACCACCATCCTTAAAAATCTCAGGAGTAATCCTATCAGGGCCTGTTGCTCTCCCTCGCTTCAGCTTTGTGGCTTTTTCAACTTCGTAAAGGGACGGAGGACCTACCTTAATTTGCCATTCCGGTTGACTAGAGATCGTGGGAAACCGAAGTGTGGCTGAAGGCCAGTTGAACTGACCCCTAAAGTGTTCTGCCCATTGATCCAATCTCCTGGATTGAGAATGAATAATATGTCCATCTTTCTCTGAGATTGTTTCGCTAACGGTCGGGTTCCTAATTCCGATTTCCTTAACGAGTCTGAACAATTGTCTGCTATTACCTATTGCCGCTGCCTTTTCCATCTCTCTTGCTTTCGCTACCCACCACTGTTCGTGATCATTGCGTAGACTTTTTGTCAGCTTGCGCTTAAGCTGACTTTGATCTTCATTATGTTCAGAGCCAAGTGGAATGAGTTTCCGAGCATCTATCAGTGCGATAGATGCTGCTGAGATCCAGTGTTGCTCCCTAACCTTGTGGTTTACCTTACTAGCAGATATCACTGCTGTTTCCACAGCTTTTCGGATATCATTCCATGCTGCCTCAGGGTGGGCATCACCTATATGGCTGCCTAACTGTTTTCCTAGTTGTTCCTGAAATATACTCTTAGCTTGACTATCATTAAGTAGGCCCCTAAGAGGTTTCCTTGCAGCGTCTTTCCTACGTCCAGTAAGACGCAAGCAAATACGCGCTCGCACTAGAGCATGATCTGAATCTAGGCATGTGCTCCAGAATGAGCGACAGTCTTCTATCGAGCCCCTCCATCGGTGGCTGATAGCGATGTGATCTGTTTGGGTCCAACGTTGGGACGAATTAGGGGGTCGCCATGTTAAAAGATTATTTTCCTTATGCTTAAAGTTAGTATTTGCAAGGAACAGGCGGTTATCTGAGCATAGCTGCAACAAACGGTTGCCATTATCTGTTCTTTGAGCCACGACACCATAAGATCCACCTAGGTGTCTTTCCCTATCGCTTAGTTTACCTACTTGAGCATTAACGTCACCGGCCACTATTACTACATCCGAGCGCTTAGCTTTTCGAAGAAGGTCCGAAAGCTTTCTGTAAAACTCATCTTTTACATCATCTGAGCTGCAGTCAGTGGGAGAATAGGCAGAGACGACGAAGAGGCAACGACGAGTGTCCCTATCTTTTCGGATCCTCATTGTTCCATTCAGTCGGACAGCGCACAAACGACTGTCTACTGGGATGTATTGATCATATCTTCACCCTCTGCCATATGTTAACACCGTCATAATTATCACAAGCCAAAAACCGTAGTGTTTCTTGA